GCTGGCACTTTGCCAGTTGAGCCACAGCTACACTGCTGGCTTTTTTTTGGTGGTTAATTGGAGATAAGAGTCTTATGGTCTTTCCTTCCAGGGCTTTGGCCTTAAACCTTAATCCTCAGTCTCAGCCTCCTGAATAGCTAGGATTAAAGGCCTACGCCTGGTGCTTGGCTGAAACTAGAAATTTAATCAAGGCCATTGGCTCCTTTGTGCAACAGTCTTCCCAGGCCTGGGCTTCTGCGTAGCCTTTTAAGCCAGCAGTTGCCAAGTCTAGAGGCCTTCAACCACCTGTAGGCTTGTTAAGACAAGTGCTGCGTGTAACCTTTAAGATTCTGTTTCAGTAGTGCTTAGTGAGACCTGAGCATCTGCTGCCAATCAGAACTTCTTTTTTTTTTTTTTTTGGGTCCGGTTGTGGGGCCTGAACTCTGGGCCTGGGTGCTGTCCCTCAGCTCTTCAGCTCAAGGCTAGCGCTCTACCACTTGAGCCACAGCGCCACTTCCGGCTTTTTTTTTTTCTTATGTGGTGCTGAGGAATCGAACCCAGGGCCTCAGGCATGCACTCTACCACTGAGCCAACTTCCCAGCCCCACCAATCAGAACTTCTCACCTGAGTCCTGTGAGGACATCATCGACTTGACTTTAGGAGCCTGGTATACTGTGGACCATTATGAGGAAACTCTGGTGGTGGTGGGATCAGGCGAGAGAGCAAAACCCAGCTGTAAGACTGAACTTGGCTCTGAAATAAACCTTTATTCTTCCTCAAATAGAAGTGCTTCAACATGGAATGGAGTTGGACGCACCTCTTTTATGAGTCTCAGTGACCAGGGGGCTTGTTTGGGGGCAGCTCTGAAAAGACCAGGAAGATAGTTGGCAGGAGAGGCTGTGTTGATTCCAGACCTGTTGGACTCAATGCCTCTTGTTCTTCACCTGGGGCTGCTGCTCTGGGTGACCTGGCCTGCAGACTAAGAGAGTGACTGGGATTTTTAAGCTAGGAATTGGGGTCTTCGTTGCTGATCTGTAAGCAAGTGTGGTGAACAAATATGTCAGCTCTAGGAATAGCATTTGTAGAGTATTGTACTCTAGTTGAGGTTTCTGGGCTGGGTTCTGCCTCAGAGTATCTCTGCCCTGACTCCTGGTAAAGCAGCTTCAGCACCAAGTTAGAAGCATTATGAGTGGCGGTACACACTTTGACTTTGAGACCTCTGGTGAAGGTTGTGATTATTTCATAGGAGTTGAAAATTGACCACAGGAAGACAGTGGGCAACCATGGGACTTAGATGTCTGTGTATTTTTTGGGGGGCTACTCCAGTGGGAAGAAGCAAACAGAGTCAGCGAGAGGTGACTGCTTTTCTGTGCTGGTGACAGTGTGTCCCCAAGGCAGAGATGTAATCTATAGAAGCTATTAGGTGTCTGTCTGGGTTTCAGGGAAAGCTTGTGGCCTGTGTGAGAGGAGCTCAGCTTCCACCTGCTGCTCCATCGGCTGGCCTCTAAACAAAGGAGAATGGTGATGCTCTTTTCTTCTTGGTGTCACTCCCCTGAGATTCAGAAGTCACCTCTGCAAGTGTTTGTTTTCTTCCTCTACGCATATATTTATTATCCCTTGTATTTTCTTCATTTGTTTATAAAAGCCTTTCCTCTACCTCTCCCACCCAGTACTGGGGTTTGAGCTAAGGACCTTGAACTTTTGCTTAGCTTGGTTGCTCATTTGAGTCTTCTACTTGAGTCACACCTGTAGCTCAGCTTTTTGCTAATCTTTTTTCTTTTGTGGTTGGGTGTAGGGCTTGAACTCAGGGCCTGGGTGATGTCCCTGAGCTTTTTCACTCAAGGATAGTGCTCTACCACTTTAAGCCACAGCTCTACTTCTGGTTTTCTGGTGGTTGATTGGAGGTAAGAGTCTTATGGATTTTTATGCCCGGGCTGGCTTTGATTCATAATCCTCATATCTCATCTCCTGAGTAGCTGGTATTAAAGGTGTGAGACACCAGCACCAACCTTGGTGCCTTAATTTTTTTTTTTTGTCCGTTGTCGGGCTTGAACTCAGGGCCTAAGCACTGACCTTGAGCTCTTTTGTTCAAGGCTAGCACTCTACCACTTTGAGCCACAGCCCCACTTCTGGTTTTTGAGTGATTAATTGGAGATAAGAGTCTCTCAGGGGGGCTGGGAAGGTGGCTCAGTGGTAGAGTGCTTGCCTTGCATGCATGAGGCCCTGAGTTCGATTCCTCAGCACCACATAAACAAAAAGAAAAAAGCCGGAAGTGGCGCTGTGGCTCAAGTGGTAGAGCGCTAGCCTTGAGCTGAAGAGCTGAGGGAGAGTGCCCAAGCCCAGAGTTCAGGCCCCATGACCAGACCCCCCCCCCCAAAATAAAAAAAAAAAGAGTCTCTCAGGGACTTTTCTTCCCTCAGCTGACTTTTCTGCCTGGTCTGACTTCAAACTACAGTCCTCAGATCTCAGCCTCTTAAGTGGCTAGAATTACAGGTGTGAGCCCCCGGCAGTACCTTAATTTCTAAGCCACCTTTAAGGAGCCAGGGTTGTGATGCTCACTGAGGAAGGTCAGGTATGTTTTGCTAGTGGGAGAATCAAGCCTTATAAAGCTTGAATCAACCTTTTCTCTTTTATTTTTCTTTTTGCCAGTCCTGGGGCTTGAGCTCAGGGCCTGGGCAATGTCCCTGAGTTTCTTTTGCTTAAGGGTACTACTCTACCACTGAGACACAGCACTACTTCTGGCATTTTCTGTGTATGTGGTACTGAGGAATCAAACCCAGGCCTTCATGCGTGCTAGGCAAGCACTCTACCATACCACTAAGCCACCTGCCCAGTCAAGAACCTTTTCTATTGAACCTTTTCTATAAAACAACAGAAACTTGAAAAATAAATGCACATTTAAAAAATAACACAGGGAAGCCGGGTGCCGGTGGCTCATGCCTGTCATCCTAGCTACTCAGGAGGCTGAGATCTGAGGATCACGGTTCAAAGCCAGCCCGAGAGGAAGTCCGAAAAACTCTTCTCTCCAATAAACCACCAGAAAACTGGAAGTGTTGTAGCTCAAGTGGTAGAGCATTAGCCTTGAGCTGAAGAGCTCAGGGACAGCGCCCAAGCCCAGAGTTCAAGCCCCACGACTGACAAAAAAAAAAAAAAGAAAAGAAAGAAAGAAAAGCTGAGCATGAGGCCCTGAGTTCAAGTCTCAGTATAGACAGATAAAGGATAAAATAAAAATCCCATCTAATGTTATGAATTTTTTTCAAGTCCTAGCTTTCAGTTTAAGATGAAACAAGAGTTCTGCGAAGTATACTAGTACCTTCTTGTAATATTAGCTTAGTTCTAGACCAGCTTGGATCAGTATAGTAAGACCAAGTCTCAAAAACAAAAAGCAAAACAACCCAAACTAAAACCACAACAAATGCTAACACTCACATATTAAAAAAACTAATAGCCACTAAAATCATGTTGTACAAGTTGGTATACTGGTGTTGATATGTTGACAACATATTATCTTAAACTACATTAAAACTAAGTACAACAAGGCACCAGTATCTCATGAATCCTAGCTACTCAGGAGGCTGAGGTCTGAGGTTTGTGGTTCAAAGCCATGTAGGAAAGACTTTTATCTCCAATTAACCACCAGAAAATGGAGAAGTCACGCTGTGGTTCAAAGTGGTAGAGTGCTGGCCTTGAGCAAAAAAGCACAGGACAGTGCCCAGGCCCTGAGTTCAAACCCCAGGACCAACAAAAATCAAAACAAAAACTAACTATAGCTCTGCTGCCTCTCTGCTGAGCTGCTGGCACAAAGGATGTAGCAGTAAGCCACCAGAGATCCTCACAGAGGCTCTGTCCAGAAGAGGGCAAGTAAACCTGACCCCTTTGCCAACAAGATGAGGGAGGGTTTGTGGCTTTAGCTAAGTATCACTATCCCACAGTACTGTGAAATTTATGTAATCACTTAATCTCAATGAACAATTTTTTTTTTTTTGCCAGTCATGGGGCCTGAACTCTGGGCCTGGGCGCTGTCCCTCAGCTCTTCAGCTCAAGGCTAGCGCTCTACCACTTGAGCCACAGCGCCACTTCCGGCTTTTTTTCTTTTTGCTTATGTGGTGCTGAGGAATTGAACCCAGGGCCTCATGCATGCAAGGCAAGCGCTCTACCACTGAGCCACCTTCCCAGCCTGTCAATGAACAAATTTTTTAAAAGAAGATGAGAGGAGACACATGGGTATGAGGTTAGCATGGCTCAGGGCGCTGAGATGGTATTTCTAGAAGCTCAGCTCCTGCTCCCTGTGCTCAAAGTCCTTCTACTCAACCGCAGCTTCTTGCTGGGGCAGGTTCCCCTTCACTCTCTAGGCAAGAACGTTTGGCTGGAGTTTCTTTTTCCTTTTAAATTTAATTTTACTGTAAAGATGCTGTACAGAGGGGTTACAGTTACATGAGTAAGGCAATGAGCACATTTCTTGTTGAGTGTTGTTACCCCTCCTTTGTTTTTCTCCTTCTATCCCTTCCCTCCCTCCACTCCTCCCCCTGGCTAGAGTTTTTACGGCTGCCTCTCCCTCCTTGCTCAGAAGAATCAACATTTTTTTAAAAGTTTGCACTATGTGAGCCATCTGCTGCCCTCAGGTGAAAAGCATCAATGCACAGTGTTGAAAATGAACTTTGCGTGAGAATGGGAGGGAAAACTGGGAGCGTGAGTGACACTCCCTGACTCTGTACCTCGCCTTCATAAAAACAATAAGAAATCAAAAGATTAAAAAAGCCCAGGCAGGGCTGGGAAGGTGGCTCAGTGGTAGAGTGCTTGCCTTGCATGCATGAGGTCCTCAGCACCACTGAAGCAGAAAAAGCCGGAAGTGGTGCTGTGGCTCAAGTGGTAGAGCTAGCCTTGAGCTGAATTGCTGATGGACAGTGCCCAGGCCCTGAGTTAAGGCCCCACAACCCACCAAAAAAAAAAGCACCCATGTAGTGTGTGTTTTTCCCCTTGGGAAGACTTTGGTAACATGTTTTTATTATACATTACAGGTAAAGGACTTAACCCAGTATTTGGATCCAAGTGGGCTTGGTGTGATCACTTTCGAGGACTTCCACCAAGGGATCATGGCCATCACAAACGGAGGTTAGCGCCTTGTGCGTCTCTCCCTGTGTTCCTACCTCTCCCTCCTGCGGCCGCCCTGTGCGTCTCTCCCTGTGTTCCTACCTCTCCCTCCTGCGGCTGCCCCATAGACTCCCACCCTCCTTCAGGCCCTGTCAAATGTGTTTTTGTTGTTGTTGGTTTTTTTTTTTTTTTTGGTGCCATTCTGGAGGGCCCTGAGATCTTTTAATTAACTAATTAATTAATGATTCCACTCAAAGGTAATACTCAACCAATTGAGCCACAGCCCCATTTCTACTTTTTTTTTTTGTCTTTTTTGTGGTCATGGGGCCTGAACTCTGGGCCTGGGCACTGTCCCTCAGCTCTTCACCTCAAGGCTTGCTCTCTACCCCTTGAGCCACAGTGTCATTTCTGGTTTTCTGGTAGTTAGTTGCAGATAAGAGTCTCAGACTTGGGCTGGGAAGGTGGCTCAGTGGTAGAGCGCTTGCCTTGCATGCATGAGGCCCTGGGTTCAATTCCTCAGCACCACATAAGCAAAAAGAAAAAAAGCCGGAAGTGGCACTGTGGCTCAAGTGGTAGAGTGCTAGCCTTGAGCTGAAGAGCTGAGGGACAGTGCCCAGGCCCAGAGTTCAGGCCCCACGACCGGACCCAAAAATAAATAAATTAAATAAATAAATAAAAGAGTCTCAGACTTTCCTGCCTAGGCTGGCTTTGAACTGTGATCCTCAGATCTCAGCCTCCTGAGTAGCTAGGATTACAGGCGTCAGCCGCTGGCACCCGGCCCAGTTCCTGTTTTTATAAAGTGTTGTAGCTTCATCTATATATTGCACGTTTAGTGAGGTCAGACTAAGTCCCAAATCTGAGGGGAGCACTGACAGCTCGCGGCCTCCAGCCTCCGCCTGGGTGAAGGACTGCTCTGGGCCTCCGCCTGGGTGAAGGACTGCTCTGGGCCTCCAGCCTCCGCCTGGGTGAAGGACTGCTCTGGGCCTCCAGCCTCCACCTGGGTGAAGGACTGCTCTGGGCCTCCAGCCTCCGCCTGGGTGAAGGACTGCTCTGGGCCTCCCTGTGGCACCTAGCTCACTGACATATTTCCCCCTTCCCAATTAGTAAAGATACTTTACTTTCCTCTTGTTTGAGGTTGATTTAATCTAACTTTTGCGTGTGTGTGTGTGTGTGCGCGCGCGCGCGCACACACGCACACACACATACAAGCACTGGAGCTTGACCTCAAAGCCTGAGTGTTGTCCCTGAACTTGTTTGCCCAAGACTATCACTCTACAACTTGAGCCACATCTCCACTTGTAGCCTTTTGGTGGTTAATTAGAGATAAGAGTCACACAGACACCGTGTACTGGGCGGCTCGCACCTGTAATCCTAGCTACTCAGGAGGCTGAGATCTGAAAATCATGGTTCAAAGCCAGCCCGGACAGGAAAGTCCGTGAGATTCTTTCTTATCTGCAATTAACCACTAGAAAACCGGAACTAGAGTGGTAGCTCAAAGTGGTAGAGCACTAATCTTGAGTGAAAGAGCCGGAAGAGTGCCCAGGCCCTGAGTTCAAGCCCCACAACCAACGCTCCCTACCCCCTCCCTAAAAAAAATTCTGCTCATTCTGGCTTTGAACCATGATCCTCAGATCTCAGCCTCCTGAGTTGCTAGGATTAGACATGAGCCACTGGTACTTGACTTGCATTCTTTGTGGTTAGTATTTCCACTCTAATTAAGAATAAAACATTCTCGGGGCTGGGAAGGTGGCTCAGGGGTAGAGCGCTTGCCTTGCATGCATGAGGCCTCAGCACCACATAAGCAAAAAGAAAAAAAGCTGGAAGTGGTACTGTGGCTCAAGTGGTAGAGCGCTAGCCTTGAGCTGAAGAGCTGAGGGACAGCGCCCAGGCCCAGAGTTCAGGCCCCACGACCAGACCCCAAAAAAAAGAAGAAAAAAAAAAAGAAGAAAACATTCTCAGCAAGTCCCAGAGTTAGTTTGGATCCAGTTTTAGTGTTTTTTTTTGTCCTGGGGCTTGAACTCAGGGCATGTTCCTGAGCATCTTTTGCTCAAGGCTAGCACACCACTGTGTATGTGGTACTGAGGAATCAAACCCAGGGCTTCATGCATTCCAAGAAAGCACTCTACCACTGAGCCACCTTCCCAGCCCCCCTGCTGGGATTCAGAGAGTGGGACTGTGCTTCTTTAGCAGCAAGAGCATCTCAGGTCTGTGTCTCTGCCTGATGCCATGTTGAGGGGTGCAAGAGCATCATAGGAGACACCCTCTCCTTCCATTGAGCAGACCTGTGTGCTTGAAGGGTGGTCTGCTGGTGGACCACAGAAAGGGCGGGACCATGGGCATGGGGACTGGGAGGGGTCCAGCCTGGACAGCGGGCGGGCTGCCCCTCCTGCAGGACCCCTGGGTAGCAGGTCTGTGATGACGAGAACTAGTGGAGGTGGCTACAGCTGAGACTTGTGGGGACTGTCAGTAGGGGTCCTGTTAGGCTCGACTGTGCAAGCTCTGGGGAGAGACCAAGAAGAGCCAATCCCTGCCCCTGGGGGCTGGCCTTCTAGTGGGGGACAGACTATAGACAGTTGGGGGAGGGCAGAGAAGTGGTAGTGTTCTGGTGTGTGTGGGGACAGCGGGGGTCAGAAGAGCAATGTGTGGGTAGCCAAGACACAGTGGATCTGATGGCACCGTGAGAGGATTTGGCCTATGGGAGCACAGGTCTGTGAATCAAGCCCAGCAGAGTGCTCTTGGGATGACTGTGTGATGGGGAGGACCCAACCTCAGTGCTAGCCTGCCAGGACCATGGCTCCAGAGCTAGCCTTCACTAGGACCATGGCCCAAGCCCCAGTGCTAGCCTTCATTCACCAGGACCGTGGCTCCAGTGCTAACCTTCATTCACCAGGACCTGGCTCCAGTGCTAGCCTTCATTCACCAGGACCTGGCTCCAGTGCTAGCCTTCATTCACCAGGACCTGGCTCCAGTGCTAGCCTTCATTCACCAGGACCGTGGCTCCAGTGCTAGCCTTCATTCACCA